TCCGTCTATCTCATCCCAGAAAACCAATCTAAACACTTGACTCTCAGTTGGCCAGGGTAGGAGAGGTCTCCGTGCTTCTACCTGCATGGTGCCAGACACAAAGAATTGTAGGGTAAGGAGCAGCTTTTTAGCAGTGGCTAAAGGGTGCTTAAAACTGTGCAAGCCTCAGTCCTCGTCCCTGCTCTAGGTCTCATTATTGTCTCTGTTCCAATAACTGTTTATGTAAACCTTAGGTATTCAGACTTCATAGCGACAAGGATATTTTCTGAGATTATATTTTTCATTTATTTTTCCTTTGCCATTGAGCCTTTATCTATCTTTACCAGCTGCAGGTCTGAGTGTGTTGATTTAAGGAATGAAGAGCATATGTTTATATAAGGACTAACTCATGCTCTGACACACTGTATAATACATTGGGGTGTTTGTTACCAGAAAGGAAACAGGGATCAAACAGTTCCTGCTCTGCAAGATGTCCCCTCATTGTAAGGTAAAAGCATTTGATTTCTGTTATCTCATACAGACCTTTGGTAAACAGATCTTGGTGCATTCAAATGTGGTAATAAGTTTGCGTACCTCACTTGGGTGTGAAGAAGAGGTTAGTGTTCGTTAGCTGGGGTGGGTTGGAATCGGTGGAGGTCCAGGAGAAGGAGAGGAGCTGGAAGCAGATGAGGGGCAACCAACAGAACACAAAATGGAGACAAGGCACAAGTTGTGTGTCTTCATGACCATCTGCCTAGTACCTTTCTCAGATAATCCCAAGTCCCCTCTCTTCCTCAACAGTTCAACATCTCTTGCAGGCATGGGCAAGCAGTTCAATAATAGCAGAGCTGGTGAATAATAAATTTTTCAGTTGCAATCTTACACTGCCTCAAAGGAAGAGTGTAGTTTTGCTCTCAGGTTCTTCAAGCTTTAAAAAATAGATTGGGTCAATTTCCAACAACTTTAGTTGAAACATTTCATTATGGCAGGTACAGAACAGAGATTTTTACACTTTAGCATTTTGCTCAAATGAAATCGTTTGTTTGCTGAATTTGACCTGAATTTGTGATCAGCCTTTTTTCTCCCCATTTTTCAAAAGTATTCACTACAGCCAGGGGTACAGTTACTGTTCAGGAATGTGTTGTAGATCCTGAGTATCATAAGAGCAATACAATTATTTCCTTATGCAGCTCTTGACTCTCACAAAGAGCTGTCCTCACCTGCTTACTTAGATACTCTTAGCTGTAACACACCAGGCACAGGTCTTGGCCAAACACTTGCTACTCTCCTGCACAGGCCCTGTTGTGAGCTATTAGTGTGAATCTAAATGTCATTCCTCTTGGGAAGAAGGAGCCAGCAATGGAGCAGAGAGGAAAGGGCTGGGAAAGGAACAGCAAGCCAAGAGAAAGAGGGTGAATAAGAGGAGTGGTAGCCCCACATAGCCACGTGGTGGGAACTGCAGTGTCTATGCAGTTGTCCACAGCTGTGACTTCTCTGTTGCTGGTACATTGCAATCAAGTAAGATCTTTAATCAGTTCTGTCCTAGCTGTCCATGGGCTCTCAGACATCCATAGCGAACACAGCCAGAGCTGTGTAACACGAAAAACAGGGCATGAACTGAAGAACAAGCTTGCAGAAGTGGTGCTGAGAGAAGCTGTGGAGTATGAGCTAAAGGGCTGTATGGCTCAACAAAACAGCAGGAGAGGATGGGAACCAAGGAATGCAAGCAAGTCTTCTACAGGGAAAGTCAATTTGACACCGTATTCTATTGTTTACAGATTGTCAGATGCACCACCTTACTTGTACACATTTATTCCTTAATAGCTATTGAGAAATGACCATTACTGGAAGAAAGTGCAGCAGAGGGGTGGCAGGAGGCCTGTGTACAAGGAAAGAAGCCAGTATTCCCATGGCCAAGCTGCACAGCTGTCTCCAGTTGCTGACTGAATTAATTAATCTTCACTGTTCCAAGCAAACATAGCTTAATCATAAATCTTGATTTCATTATGCAACAAAACCATTCCGGCCTTGCAATTTGCTTTGGTAACACTTGTGTAAACAAAGCTTTGGACGGAGGTGCAAGGAGAGTGAACAAATGGGGAGACAGGATGGGGACCAGGGGAAGGTGTGTGCTCTGGAGGCTATCTCAGCTTCAGCTGAATGATCGGTACGTGCTTTCTGCCCCCTGCTGTATCCCATGCTAGGGAAGCACCATTTGACGCTGCAATAGAAACTACGGTATCAGTTGAATTTAAAGGAGGTAGTGGGAATTTATCAATAATCAATTAATAAAGAAGTGTGAACAACTTTCATCCTTTCTCCCACGCAAAAGACAAACGTTTCATCACATAGTTGACTTTTGAAGCAAGTATGGATTCAAACTGAAGCTAATGTTTGTACACCCTCACCAAGCTCCAGTTGGTGTCAGAGTCAACAAACAATGGCCCACCCCATCAGCCATCCTACCTTGTGGGAAGAAAGGTAGTTTTGTGCAAAAGACAGGTCAATACCAAAGGACTGGTTTTGCCACTGGCTCTTTGGATTTTTTTTCTGCAGTATCAGGGACAATGTAGTGACCACTACAAATGAAGCAAATGCAATCCAGTATGGTAAACGGAAGGAATGGTTTCGTCTTGTGCCAGCTAATGTCTTGATCTCTGACCCAGCGTCTCTGGCTCTTTGGCGTGTTCCAGCCGGTCCTGCAACAGCCCCACCTCAGGGCACAGCTGAGCCATGCTGGTGGCTGGGAAACTATATTTAAGAAGAGCAAAATGCCACACAGGAAATGAGGACTCAGGGGGGGGAAAAGTGTGAGGAACAGCCCTGCGAACACTGAGGTCAGAGAAGATGGAGGGGGAGGAGGTGCTCCAAGTGCCAGAGCTGAGATTGCCCTGCAGCCCATGGAGGGCCCTGTGCTGGAGCAAGGGGACATTTCCTGAAGCAGCTGTGGCCATGGAAAGCCCACGCTGGAGCAGGCTGATCCTGAAGGACTGCAGCCCGTGGGAAGGACCCACACTGGAGCAGGGGAAAAGAGTGAGGAGGATGAAGCGGCAGAAACAAACTGCTGTGGACTGACTGCAGCCCCCCATTCCCCTTATGCCCTCTGCGCCACTCGGGTACAGGGGAGGTAGAGGAGTCGGGAATGAAGGAATAAAGCTGAGCCTGGGAAAATGGGGAGGTGTTGTTTTAATTTTTCTGTGTTTCTCACTATCCAAATCTATTTTAATTAGCAATAAAATAAATTATTTTTCCCCAAGTTGAGTCTGTTTTCCCTGTGACAATAATCAGTAAGTGATTTTCCTGTCCTTATCTTGACCCATGAGCTTTTTCACCTTATTTTCTCCTCCTGCCCTGTTGAGGAGGAGGGATGAGAGAGGGGCTGGGTGGGCGTCTTGCAGCCAGCCAAGGTCAATCCTCCACACTTGTTTTCTTTTTATCTAGGGACAGAAGAACAGAGGCACTGGGGTCCAAGCAGTGAATGCCAGTCCTCAAGCAGGATGGCCATGCAGTGACACTTGCCATTGCAGCTCTTGGGGCTTGTGTGGACCAGCCACCCTGAGCTTGCCTCAGACTTAATCTTTGGAGTTGTCTCATGTTCTCCTTTTCCATTCAAATATTAACAGCTTTTGTTGAGTTTTCAATGTTTTTAATCTGTTTTTCCTTTTCTTTCATCTCTCCAGGTATGCGACAGCTGCCCGAAGCTGTTTACCAAGCCACCTCCCTTACTTCCTTCAATCCCTCCGAATGACCACTTCTTGCATCTGGCTTGCAAAACCATGATAAGAGAAGACTACCCATGTTTACAGAGTCAATGAACTGTTTGCATGTCTAACAAAGTAACCCTTTCTTTTTTTCCCTTCCCACCATGGAGTTTGTGCTTCCTTTCTCCCTTTGATCTTCTTCTGACTTGCCTCTGGTGTATCAGGTTGAGTTTGGGTGCTGGCTGTTCTGGGCCAGGACAGTTGTATTGCATGTTTCAAAAGGCACAAGAAACATTTCTGAGTTCCTGAGAAGGAATATATTTACCAATCAGTAATGAATCCAAACCCATCTAAAACTAGCAGCAGGAACAACCAGCATGTCAAATCTTTATCTACTAAAAGTTTTTGCGCAGTTTGTCTAGGAAAAAAAATATGTGGAATTGTGCATTACAAGAGTAACTAAGACCCTAAGCCACTTGATCGAACTTTGAAGATAACCCTTCTTTGACTTGGGGATTGGACCAGATAGCCTCCAGAGGCCCCTTCCAGGCTAAATCTTTCTGTGATTACGGCGTTTTATATACTGTTCAAATGTTGCCAAATTTAGTAGTGCTGTGCAAATGCGGTTTCTTTGATTGGCACTCGGATCCACTGAAAACTGACCATGACCTGAAATATAGTTCCTCTTTGTAAAAATCCATTGTAGAGTTCCATTGGATCCCATTATTTATCTGTTATCTTAAATACGTTGTAAATCCTGGTGGGAGGACTGTGTCAAGGGATCTGTAAAGTACTTAAGAACTTCGGAAATAGAGAATTTGGGATTAATTTTCCCTTATTTTCTATACTTGCCCCTATCCCCGGACTTAAACTCCTTGTTTTCTGGGAAGATTTGTGTAGTTTAACAATGATCAGTGTATGACCACTGAATTTTGACTTGAGTTTATGACAAAAGTCAAAAGTTGACTTTGGTGGTTTCAGATTTGCAGTAGATGACTCACAGAGCTTAAACGTACTGTCTGAGTCTTGCTACCATGGTAAAGATATATCCCGGTGAAGGATGAACAGGGGACATCAGAAAGTTGAAAGTAGTCACTTTCTACTGCATTTTTATGGGACATGTAGTAGGACAGACATACTCATAAGAGTAGTCTAGGAGAATGCAAGGCAGCTCAGCATCCTAGTTCCAAACTTTTCTACCTCCAGAAAGTTAACTAATGTGTAACTAATATTTGAGAAATACATGATGGTAAGTTTTGTGTCATATTTGACTCAGTCCCTGAAACTGTACCTTCACAGCAACTTTAAGGGACTGGCGACATGACGGTTGCCTCGGGTGATGCCCTCCCAGCAGCTGGTGGGTGTGCCTCCCCACGGGAGTCCAGACCAGTCAGAAGGGTCTCCATAAGCCCCTCGATTGTTTCCCACCATGCTCTTACTCTTCCACATCTGCAGTCACAAAAAGGAAGGCTCTGCTACACAGACTTAAAAAACAACTTTGGCTCAGGTATGACTCAAACCCGAGAAAGGGACATGTTACATTTGTGACAGCAACAGAACTTCATAGCTGAAAGAGGAATGGGATGGAAAAATAGCAGCCATTGCAACAACTTTTAATCTCTACCTTCTCTGAGGAAGATGTCAGGTGTTGTCTTCTTGTAGAACCAGGAAGCTATAAATGTTTGGTTACAAATCAAACATACAGTCATGGAAATTAGGGAAGTAAGAGCAGTGAGGGAGTGTGTTTGGTGTTGACTTACTGAAGGGACAGATTGGGCTGCTGAGCTACACCCTTTAGCATCTCTGCCTATAAATTCTGCTGCCCTCCTATATCAGGAGCTCCAAGAAGATGGCTGCCACCATGATCTTGTCTTGGATGGTAATGATAAGTCTTCGAATTCAGATGGATGCAGGTAAAGAGTCTCACTTCTGATCACCTTCATGGCTATATTTCACATCAGGTTAATGTTGAGATTTAAGGGTAAAAGAGGATTTAGCAGCATGGCTTAGCTCTTTCAAAAACCATGAGTAGGTCAAACCTATGAGCTGAGAAAATCAATTGTTATACACATTAATTTTTTGAATTAATTGAAACTTTTATTGAAACTGCTTAATGAATTTAAATTTTTGTTCTCACCATTTTTTGTTCTCACCTCACTAAAGAGGCTAGTAAAGAAAATTCAAATTAATATACTGTAAAGCCAATGATACGATTTTCTGAATCTTTTTATTGGAGTAATGAATTTAAAGACTAGTATGTATTTTCTGGATGAAATGCATGTTTATTTTAAAGAGTGTGAGGTGCTCTCTGAACCATGTGTTTTGTATTTGATTAAGTATATTGTTACGACTAACACATTGGTGTTTAATAACAGAGTGCCCTAGATAAAACAAGTATGGCACATGTCCCTGTTGCTATTATTATTGTAATTATTAGACTATAATAGGAATTACTGTAATTTTATATTATTTGAATTTCCTATAGTCTAATTCCTGTTACAAGTGTAATTTGATTTGGTTGCAGAGGCAGTGATCTGCCCAGACACTTTCATCCCTTTGAGGACCAATAGAAATATCGGTGGGTCTGATGGGAGGGAGATGCTTCAAACAGGGTAAAATGGTCTGCCTGTGTTCAAAAAACAGTTTCTCCTTTGTCAGGTGAGGCTTCCCTGGCTGAGCAGAGTGCCAGCATGGTGCTGTGAGAAACAAGGCATTTCTTTTTAAGAAGCTGCTGTTGCATTCTTTGTGCAGGAGGGGGAATGGAAAAAGACCAAAAGTGTTTGCCATAGCTACTGTCTTTCCATCCCTCCCTCTTTCAGATCTAAAGTTCTGACATTAACTTGACTTGGGCTAATGAACTAAAAGCAAAAACCTGTTTCGCTTTCTATGTTCCCACACACACCTGCATACACAACGGAAAGAAATAACCATTCAACCTTGCAGATGCATATGGAACCACCCAATATTTATTTAACTTTATATAATTTTGGAAGCGCAATAGTAAGACACAGTTGCTGTCCTGTACGGTACCACGAAGTCCCAGAGGTGTCATTTTGTTCACAGTTGCGCTCTTGAGACTTTCACGCACACGGAATAAAAACCTGGAGACTAAAACACTCCTGTCCACACATTTACACAGGCAAATGAGAACAGTGTTCAGTTAGGTTGGGTTTTCTCAGAAAACAATATTTAGTATCGCGCAGGACTTTCTGAATACTGTTGATATTTTACAGGGATGAATTCCTGGATTTACTATTCCCAGCAAACACCTCTTGAGTCGTATCATGCCTGCCAGCCTCTCACCTTGTCTTGGCACAGTGACTTCCCTGCTTTAATTCAGGCTCATGCACTTGTAAGAGCAAGGCAAAAAAAAAAAAAGACATAACTCTCACTCCTCCTTCAGGGAAGAGATCTGAAGTGCTATGCTCCTGCTAGGAGTTTCTTCTGACCGGGACACCTGCCTGTTCACTGTTCTTTGCAGCTATAAACAAGCAAACAACATCCATCATATCCCTGGGGATATGAAGGCTATAGAGTGTGTTGCCTATTTTGCCCACTGCTTTCAAAAAGACAGTACAAAATGCTTGAATTATAACAATAGAAAGCAGAGAAACAAAAACTAAGCCAAGGAAATCAGAATAAGAGACATTTAGAAAAATAAAATAATAGAACAAAGAAGCCCAAAAAGTAACACCAAAAGCAAGCCAGAGTGTGAAATTTTTGCAGGCAGCCTGACTCACATCCACAACGAACTACAGAGTATTATTCAGGTGAGGGACGATTTGAATAAACGATATGTTATATAAACGTAACAGTGTGACTCAAACCCAAGGCTTCATACATCACTTCTTAAAGAAAAGCGCTTCAGCTGGGGAGGGTTTTGTGGCATCTGTTAGGGGAGGACGAGACTCACCACCTTTGTTTTCCATTTGTAAAACGGTTGCCTCAAGTGAAACTTATGGATCTGGGAGAGGTAATCTTCATACTTTTACTAAGATAAAAAGTTGCTCGCTTGCTTTTTTCTCTTCTTCCCTTAACAGCTACAAGTACCATGACCCAAAGTACCAGCATGCCGATGTCTTCAGGTGTGTCTGCATTTTTCATGTTTTTGGTCTATGCGCTACTTCTGGTCTGTACTAGTTAGTATCCCAGCTTGGGGGTCTGAAGCTGCCCGGTGGCAGGTGGGACAGGTAGGAGCATGGTGCTGCGAACCACACACCCCAGCGCAGGGCATTGGTTTGCCAGTCATGCTCGTGGGGCTATGGGCACGTGGCATGCAAACCTGGAGAGAGCAAAGCTCCAAGGTGGATTGCACCGTGTCCCGAAAGATGCATCTCTCGACGGAAAACATACCTCGTCTGAATGTGTTTATCACTTGCATTGTCAAATGTAGTCACTCACTAAAAGCAGCCATTTACAGCAAGAATCATAGCATCATAGCTTCATAGGATCGTGGGATCAAGGATGGTTTGGGTAGGAAGGGGCCGTTAAAGGTGATCTAGTCGAAACCTCCTGCAATGAGCAGAGACATCTTCAACTAGAAGATGGCTCGGAGCCCTCTCCAAACTGACCTTGAATGTTTCCAGGGATGGGACATCTACAAGCTCTCTGGGCAACCAAGAAATTAGCACTTCTTTGCCTAAAGAGAAAATCTGCTGGAGATGTGTTCAAAGATTGTGCTTTCTGTTGCTCCCACCACGGAAGAGCACCCTGCTGAGACCCCCAGGCTCTCCATCGCCCACGTGACAGGGTGGCACCAGCATCCCCGGTGCTGGGAGAAAACCTGGCCGTGCTCCTTCATCCACAAGGTCCTCACTTGCTTCTTTCTCTTCCTCCCCTAACAGGTGCCACAACCACCACCCCAGCCAGCTTCACGGCATCCGTTCCTCCAGGTGGGTCTGGATTTGTCATGGTTTTTCTGGCCACTGCTTTTGCGGTACCAGGTAGTGGCTAAACGGGGTGGCGTTTGGTCTTCTCCATGGGGGAGCAGAGCCAGGGAAACACACGGCCTAATTAAGCCGAGGGTGGCAGTCCTGGTGGCCTGAAACTCGTGGAGCATTGCCAATGCCCCGGCGAGAGAAGGTGCCTGCGTGCTAGAGGGTTTTCCCATGTTTCCCCTGTCTCCTCCTTCCCAAGGTGCCTCCCTGAGCCTGGTGAACGGCAGGAACCGGTGCGAGGGGCGCGTGGAGATTTACCACTACGGGGGCCAGGGCACCGTCTGTGATGACAGCTGGGACCTGAACGATGCCGAGGTCGTGTGCAGGCAGCTGGGATGCGGCTTTGCTGTTTCTGCACCGTCAAGTGCCTCCTTTGGACAAGGCACTGGCAATATCTACCTGGACGATGTGCACTGCACAGGCAGCGAGTCCTCCCTCTTTCAGTGCAGGCACAGTGGCTGGGGCGTCCACAACTGTGGCCACGGTGAAGATGCTGGTGTTGTGTGCTCAGGTACCATTGCTTTTCCTTCCTAAGTACCAGTCTGCTTTCCAAAAGTGGCCCTTGTCGGCCACAGTTCGGTACGTGTTGGAGGCGTGTTCAAAGATGGTGCTTTCTGTTGCTCCCACCACGGAAGAGCACCCTGCTGAGACCCCCAGGCTCTCCATCGCCCACGTGACAGGGTGGCACCAGCATCCCCGGTGCTGGGAGAAAACCTGGCCGTGCTCCTTCATCCACAAGGTCCTCACTTGCTTCTTTCTCTTCCTCCCCTAACAGGTGCCACAACCACCACCCCAGCCAGCTTCACGGCATCCGTTCCTCCAGGTGGGTCTGGATTTGTCATGGTTTTTCTGGCCACTGCTTTTGCGGTACCAGGTAGTGGCTAAACGGGGTGGCGTTTGGTCTTCTCCATGGGGGAGCAGAGCCAGGGAAACACACGGCCTAATTAAGCCGAGGGTGGCAGTCCTGGTGGCCTGAAACTCGTGGAGCATTGCCAATGCCCCGGCGAGAGAAGGTGCCTGCGTGCTAGAGGGTTTTCCCATGTTTCCCCTGTCTCCTCCTTCCCAAGGTGCCTCCCTGAGCCTGGTGAACGGCAGGAACCGGTGCGAGGGGCGCGTGGAGATTTACCACTACGGGGGCCGGGGCACCGTCTGTGATGACAGCTGGGACCTGAACGATGCCGAGGTCGTGTGCAGGCAGCTGGGATGCGGCTTTGCTGTTTCTGCACCGTCAAGTGCCTCCTTTGGACAAGGCACTGGCAATATCTACCTGGACGATGTGCACTGCACAGGCAGCGAGTCCTCCCTCTTTCAGTGCAGGCACAGTGGCTGGGGCGTCCACAACTGTGGCCACGGTGAAGATGCTGGTGTTGTGTGCTCAGGTACCATTGCTTTTCCTTCCTAAGTACCAGTCTGCTTTCCAAAAGTGGCCCTTGTCGGCCACAGTTCGGTACGTGTTGGAGGCGTGTTCAAAGATGGTGCTTTCTGTTGCTCCCACCACGGAAGAGCACCCTGCTGAGACCCCCAGGCTCTCCATCGCCCACGTGACAGGGTGGCACCAGCATCCCCGGTGCTGGGAGAAAACCTGGCCGTGCTCCTTCATCCACAAGGTCCTCACTTGCTTCTTTCTCTTCCTCCCCTAACAGGTGCCACAACCACCACCCCAGCCAGCTTCACGGCATCCGTTCCTCCAGGTGGGTCTGGATTTGTCATGGTTTTTCTGGCCACTGCTTTTGCGGTACCAGGTAGTGGCTAAACGGGGTGGCGTTTGGTCTTCTCCATGGGGGAGCAGAGCCAGGGAAACACACGGCCTAATTAAGCCGAGGGTGGCAGTCCTGGTGGCCTGAAACTCGTGGAGCATTGCCAATGCCCCGGCGAGAGAAGGTGCCTGCGTGCTAGAGGGTTTTCCCATGTTTCCCCTGTCTCCTCCTTCCCAAGGTGCCTCCCTGAGCCTGGTGAACGGCAGGAACCGGTGCGAGGGGCGCGTGGAGATTTACCACTACGGGGGCCGGGGCACCGTCTGTGATGACAGCTGGGACCTGAACGATGCCGAGGTCGTGTGCAGGCAGCTGGGATGCGGCTTTGCTGTTTCTGCACCGTCAAGTGCCTCCTTTGGACAAGGCACTGGCAATATCTACCTGGACGATGTGCACTGCACAGGCAGCGAGTCCTCCCTCTTTCAGTGCAGGCACAGTGGCTGGGGCGTCCACAACTGTGGCCACGGTGAAGATGCTGGTGTTGTGTGCTCAGGTACCATTGCTTTTCCTTCCTAAGTACCAGTCTGCTTTCCAAAAGTGGCCCTTGTCGGCCACAGTTCGGTACGTGTTGGAGGCGTGTTCAAAGATGGTGCTTTCTGTTGCTCCCACCACGGAAGAGCACCCTGCTGAGACCCCCAGGCTCTCCATCGCCCACGTGACAGGGTGGCACCAGCATCCCCGGTGCTGGGAGAAAACCTGGCCGTGCTCCTTCATCCACAAGGTCCTCACTTGCTTCTTTCTCTTCCTCCCCTAACAGGTGCCACAACCACCACCCCAGCCAGCTTCACGGCATCCGTTCCTCCAGGTGGGTCTGGATTTGTCATGGTTTTTCTGGCCACTGCTTTTGCGGTACCAGGTAGTGGCTAAACGGGGTGGCGTTTGGTCTTCTCCATGGGGGAGCAGAGCCAGGGAAACACACGGCCTAATTAAGCCGAGGGTGGCAGTCCTGGTGGCCTGAAACTCGTGGAGCATTGCCAATGCCCCGGCGAGAGAAGGTGCCTGCGTGCTAGAGGGTTTTCCCATGTTTCCCCTGTCTCCTCCTTCCCAAGGTGCCTCCCTGAGCCTGGTGAACGGCAGGAACCGGTGCGAGGGGCGCGTGGAGATTTACCACTACGGGGGCCGGGGCACCGTCTGTGATGACAGCTGGGACCTGAACGATGCCGAGGTCGTGTGCAGGCAGCTGGGATGCGGCTTTGCTGTTTCTGCACCGTCAAGTGCCTCCTTTGGACAAGGCACTGGCAATATCTACCTGGACGATGTGCACTGCACAGGCAGCGAGTCCTCCCTCTTTCAGTGCAGGCACAGTGGCTGGGGCGTCCACAACTGTGGCCACGGTGAAGATGCTGGTGTTGTGTGCTCAGGTACCATTGCTTTTCCTTCCTAAGTACCAGTCTGCTTTCCAAAAGTGGCCCTTGTCGGCCACAGTTCGGTACGTGTTGGAGGCGTGTTCAAAGATGGTGCTTTCTGTTGCTCCCACCACGGAAGAGCACCCTGCTGAGACCCCCAGGCTCTCCATCGCCCACGTGACAGGGTGGCACCAGCATCCCCGGTGCTGGGAGAAAACCTGGCCGTGCTCCTTCATCCACAAGGTCCTCACTTGCTTCTTTCTCTTCCTCCCCTAACAGGTGCCACAACCACCACCCCAGCCAGCTTCACGGCATCCGTTCCTCCAGGTGGGTCTGGATTTGTCATGGTTTTTCTGGCCACTGCTTTTGCGGTACCAGGTAGTGGCTAAACGGGGTGGCGTTTGGTCTTCTCCATGGGGGAGCAGAGCCAGGGAAACACACGGCCTAATTAAGCCGAGGGTGGCAGTCCTGGTGGCCTGAAACTCGTGGAGCATTGCCAATGCCCCGGCGAGAGAAGGTGCCTGCGTGCTAGAGGGTTTTCCCATGTTTCCCCTGTCTCCTCCTTCCCAAGGTGCCTCCCTGAGCCTGGTGAACGGCAGGAACCGGTGCGAGGGGCGCGTGGAGATTTACCACTACGGGGGCCGGGGCACCGTCTGTGATGACAGCTGGGACCTGAACGATGCCGAGGTCGTGTGCAGGCAGCTGGGATGCGGCTTTGCTGTTTCTGCACCGTCAAGTGCCTCCTTTGGACAAGGCACTGGCAATATCTACCTGGACGATGTGCACTGCACAGGCAGCGAGTCCTCCCTCTTTCAGTGCAGGCACAGTGGCTGGGGCGTCCACAACTGTGGCCACGGTGAAGATGCTGGTGTTGTGTGCTCAGGTACCATTGCTTTTCCTTCCTAAGTACCAGTCTGCTTTCCAAAAGTGGCCCTTGTCGGCCACAGTTCGGTACGTGTTGGAGGCGTGTTCAAAGATGGTGCTTTCTGTTGCTCCCACCACGGAAGAGCACCCTGCTGAGACCCCCAGGCTCTCCATCGCCCACGTGACAGGGTGGCACCAGCATCCCCGGTGCTGGGAGAAAACCTGGCCGTGCTCCTTCATCCACAAGGTCCTCACTTGCTTCTTTCTCTTCCTCCCCTAACAGGTGCCACAACCACCACCCCAGCCAGCTTCACGGCATCCGTTCCTCCAGGTGGGTCTGGATTTGTCATGGTTTTTCTGGCCACTGCTTTTGCGGTACCAGGTAGTGGCTAAACGGGGTGGCGTTTGGTCTTCTCCATGGGGGAGCAGAGCCAGGGAAACACACGGCCTAATTAAGCCGAGGGTGGCAGTCCTGGTGGCCTGAAACTCGTGGAGCATTGCCAATGCCCCGGCGAGAGAAGGTGCCTGCGTGCTAGAGGGTTTTCCCATGTTTCCCCTGTCTCCTCCTTCCCAAGGTGCCTCCCTGAGCCTGGTGAACGGCAGGAACCGGTGCGAGGGGCGCGTGGAGATTTACCACTACGGGGGCCGGGGCACCGTCTGTGATGACAGCTGGGACCTGAACGATGCCGAGGTCGTGTGCAGGCAGCTGGGATGCGGCTTTGCTGTTTCTGCACCGTCAAGTGCCTCCTTTGGACAAGGCACTGGCAATATCTACCTGGACGATGTGCACTGCACAGGCAGCGAGTCCTCCCTCTTTCAGTGCAGGCACAGTGGCTGGGGCGTCCACAACTGTGGCCACGGTGAAGATGCTGGTGTTGTGTGCTCAGGTACCATTGCTTTTCCTTCCTAAGTACCAGTCTGCTTTCCAAAAGTGGCCCTTGTCGGCCACAGTTCGGTACGTGTTGGAGGCGTGTTCAAAGATGGTGCTTTCTGTTGCTCCCACCACGGAAGAGCACCCTGCTGAGACCCCCAGGCTCTCCATCGCCCACGTGACAGGGTGGCACCAGCATCCCCGGTGCTGGGAGAAAACCTGGCCGTGCTCCTTCATCCACAAGGTCCTCACTTGCTTCTTTCTCTTCCTCCCCTAACAGGTGCCACAACCACCACCCCAGCCAGCTTCACGGCATCCGTTCCTCCAGGTGGGTCTGGATTTGTCATGGTTTTTCTGGCCACTGCTTTTGCGGTACCAGGTAGTGGCTAAACGGGGTGGCGTTTGGTCTTCTCCATGGGGGAGCAGAGCCAGGGAAACACACGGCCTAATTAAGCCGAGGGTGGCAGTCCTGGTGGCCTGAAACTCGTGGAGCATTGCCAATGCCCCGGCGAGAGAAGGTGCCTGCGTGCTAGAGGGTTTTCCCATGTTTCCCCTGTCTCCTCCTTCCCAAGGTGCCTCCCTGAGCCTGGTGAACGGCAGGAACCGGTGCGAGGGGCGCGTGGAGATTTACCACTACGGGGGCCGGGGCACCGTCTGTGATGACAGCTGGGACCTGAACGATGCCGAGGTCGTGTGCAGGCAGCTGGGATGCGGCTTTGCTGTTTCTGCACCGTCAAGTGCCTCCTTTGGACAAGGCACTGGCAATATCTACCTGGACGATGTGCACTGCACAGGCAGCGAGTCCTCCCTCTTTCAGTGCAGGCACAGTGGCTGGGGCGTCCACAACTGTGGCCACGGTGAAGATGCTGGTGTTGTGTGCTCAGGTACCATTGCTTTTCCTTCCTAAGTACCAGTCTGCTTTCCAAAAGTGGCCCTTGTCGGCCACAGTTCGGTACGTGTTGGAGGCGTGTTCAAAGATGGTGCTTTCTGTTGCTCCCACCACGGAAGAGCACCCTGCTGAGACCCCCAGGCTCTCCATCGCCCACGTGACAGGGTGGCACCAGCATCCCCGGTGCTGGGAGAAAACCTGGCCGTGCTCCTTCATCCACAAGGTCCTCACTTGCTTCTTTCTCTTCCTCCCCTAACAGGTGCCACAACCACCACCCCAGCCAGCTTCACGGCATCCGTTCCTCCAGGTGGGTCTGGATTTGTCATGGTTTTTCTGGCCACTGCTTTTGCGGTACCAGGTAGTGGCTAAACGGGGTGGCGTTTGGTCTTCTCCATGGGGGAGCAGAGCCAGGGAAACACACGGCCTAATTAAGCCGAGGGTGGCAGTCCTGGTGGCCTGAAACTCGTGGAGCATTGCCAATGCCCCGGCGAGAGAAGGTGCCTGCGTGCTAGAGGGTTTTCCCATGTTTCCCCTGTCTCCTCCTTCCCAAGGTGCCTCCCTGAGCCTGGTGAACGGCAGGAACCGGTGCGAGGGGCGCGTGGAGATTTACCACTACGGGGGCCGGGGCACCGTCTGTGATGACAGCTGGGACCTGAACGATGCCGAGGTCGTGTGCAGGCAGCTGGGATGCGGCTTTGCTGTTTCTGCACCGTCAAGTGCCTCCTTTGGACAAGGCACTGGCAATATCTACCTGGACGATGTGCACTGCACAGGCAGCGAGTCCTCCCTCTTTCAGTGCAGGCACAGTGGCTGGGGCGTCCACAACTGTGGCCACGGTGAAGATGCTGGTGTTGTGTGCTCAGGTACCATTGCTTTTCCTTCCTAAGTACCAGTCTGCTTTCCAAAAGTGGCCCTTGTCGGCCACAGTTCGGTACGTGTTGGAGGCGTGTTCAAAGATGGTGCTTTCTGTTGCTCCCACCACGGAAGAGCACCCTGCTGAGACCCCCAGGCTCTCCATCGCCCACGTGACAGGGTGGCACCAGCATCCCCGGTGCTGGGAGAAAACCTGGCCGTGCTCCTTCATCCACAAGGTCCTCACTTGCTTCTTTCTCTTCCTCCCCTAACAGGTGCCACAACCACCACCCCAGCCAGCTTCACGGCATCCGTTCCTCCAGGTGGGTCTGGATTTGTCATGGTTTTTCTGGCCACTGCTTTTGCGGTACCAGGTAGTGGCTAAACGGGGTGGCGTTTGGTCTTCTCCATGGGGGAGCAGAGCCAGGGAAACACACGGCCTAATTAAGCCGAGGGTGGCAGTCCTGGTGGCCTGAAACTCGTGGAGCATTGCCAATGCCCCGGCGAGAGAAGGTGCCTGCGTGCTAGAGGGTTTTCCCATGTTTCCCCGCGTCAGAGTTGTCTGATCACAGAATCACGGGATGTTTGAGATTTGAAGGGACCTCTGGAGGTCATCTGGTCTTACACCCCTGCTAAAGCAGGGGCAGCTAGAGCTGGCTGTCCAAGAGCATGTCCAGATGGCTCTTGACTGTCTCCAAAGATGGAGAATTCACCACCTCTGTGGGCAACCTGTGCCATTGGTCAGTCACCCTCACAGTAAAAAAGTGTGTCCTGATCTTCAGGCAGAACATATACGGATCATCTGAGATGGGGGTCTCCAGTTGGAAAGGCTCATGTCTTGAGGTTGTGTGTGTGTGTGAGTGCAGGCAGAGGAATTGCTTGGTCATGGTTGTAGCCAATGAGAAGTATGTTACTGCTCATAATTTTGGGGTATATTCCTCTTCATTTAATACTAAATAAACAATGCACCAAATTATCCCAATATAACAGTGCAGGTGATTTCACACCCAGTATAGTCACTTATTTCTTTGCAGCTGAGCAGTAATTTCACAAGTGCTTAGGAAGCATTGTTTTTGACCACTTCTTAAGTATCATTATTCCTCTGATTCCTATTTCAGCTGTTTGTTCAAGCACATCATTTGAGGATAGTGCATATTTTAAATAGTTATTAGTTTACATAGTTAATGTTAGGTCAGTTAGTGAGAGAATGGTTTTTTTCATGTTTGCTAGAAGCTGAAAATAAAAATTTAAAATCTCTTAGTCCATAGTAGATCTTTCTATGCAGGTATCTTGTTCTTTCTTTAGGTTAAAAGAAGTAAATATGTGTTCTTTCTAATTTGGAATATAATTCAAAAGATGGTGTCCATTTACATATTTCTCTTTTCTTGGAGTAGTTTGAACTTGGAGTTGTACTGAACTTTCAGTACAGTTTTTGTACTGAAAAGTATCCTAGAAATTTGTGACTTTATTTTACTTCTTAGATCTTGATTCCCCTGTTATTTGATTAGGCTGCAACTGATCTATATATAATCTTACACAATTTTTTGACTGTGACACAGGTCTTCATGTTTATGAATGTGATATTTGTCAGCATTCTTATTTGGAAACAAAATAATTTTGATCCTTTTTTTCCTTCCCTTTGGTCATTAGCAATTGTAATAGAGGCAAACCAGGCTCAGCTGTGACTTTTTCTCTTTCAAGGAACAGCTGACCTCCAGAGGTCCAGCCTCAACGATTGTGCAGTTCTATGACAAATACTCTATCCTGCTAGTGCAGACATTGAAGACCAGCATTATAAAAGCTATTCATTGTGCTTAGCATCTCCTAATCTGCATTCACATGATATATGAACCTAATAGAAAGACCACTGAAGCTGGCAGAAGTCACTGCCTCTAAATTTTAGGCTTATAAATTCTACATAGACACATTCCAAAAGCAACCTTAAATGGTGTATACATATATTTTTCTTCTCATATCTTTCTCTGCAGAAGATTATTCTTGTGGTGGCTTGCTTTCCTCTCCATCTGGGACATTACAGAGTCCATTTTACCCCAGAAATTATCCAAACAATGCCAACTGTGTTTGGGAAATAGAAGTAAAGAGCAACTTTCATGTCACACTCCAATTTAGAGATGTTCAGTAAGTAAAAATTTATTACTTGGGAAGATGATATATGGGATCGACATCTTGGACTTACTAAGCTGGTAGCTGCTTGATTTCAAGGATGTTTTTCAATGCTTTTAGTACATCTGAGATGAAAAATATATTAATTTTTATTTATTTAGACATTAATTTGGCTGTCATCTAATGAGGTTTAAATTGGAGGCTGTAATTTCTGTTCCAAAGACTTGATAGTCATATCACTAAAATGTACTCATTTGCTATGAACAGTTAATCTGAGTTAAAAAAAAAAAAAAAAAAAAAGAAAAAGAAATTTTTTTAAAAAAAAGAAGCATTTAACTAAATGGTCATGTTTGCTCCCCAGGATGGAAGGTGGCAGATGCCTGTCTGACTATGTGGAAGTCTATGATGGGCCACTCCATACCTCTCCTCTCCTTGGGAAATTTTGTTCTGGTTCTTTTCACACATACACATCTTCCTCAAACCTGCTGACCGTCCGATTTTACAGTAACTCTCGGTACACATACAGAGGGTTTCAGGCTGACTATTATTCCACGCCAGCAGATCAGAGCACTAGTAAGTTCATGTTTAAAGCAGAAACCTGCTTCTCAATTTTTTGCTAATTGACTGATTGTTAATCTTGCTGTACTGCTTCAATGAATCACCCATTTCATGTTATTTTAAATTAAATCTGTAGCATTTCACAGAGATGCAAGTGTATGGTTTGGATTCTGAACTCCTTCTGCAATATCAGCTGCTTCTACAAAAGATCTTGTTTATTTAAGTATAACCGTTTTCAGTCACTTCAATGAGCTTGTAACGTAATTTCTTTGCCATCTGCTAGCGCTGTTGTGTTTGCCAGACTACATGCGTGCAGTTGTGAGCCGATACTACCTTCAGTCACAAGGCTACTCTGCTTGGAATCTCTCCTTGAATGACCCCTATTGCAAACCCAACATTACATCAGAGTATGTTATATTCGACATACCATACACTCGCTGCGGCACAGTCAGAGAGGTATGACTTTAAATGTTTCAACAGAATATGCAGATATTGTGAGTGTGTAAAAATTCAAACCGAAGAATTCATTTTGAAAACCAGCACAAATTGAAAGCTATACTGAGGTCTGCAGGGACTGGAAGTGTCCTGGTAATTGTGGGCTGCCTCTCCCTCTTCTGAGGGATAAGGTTTATTAACACTCATATTTCCTGCATCTGCTGCCCGAGCATTCACTTATAGTCTGTTATTGATCTTCTAAGGAATAAAGTGTGGGAGGAAGCAAATACTTGGCATTTTCAAGGTCCCAAGCTGAGTGTGGTGGTTAAAAAGGTCTCAAAGCCTTTACTAAATATGACCAACTGTGGTTTAGGTCAGATTTGAGCTTAAATACTGTGCTGGACCAGATCCTTCAGGCATTTGATGTTCAAAGAATTGTACAGGTTGTATTTAATTAGTTATGTCTGTGTGTAGTGTGAGTAGTTTTCTAGGTCCACATTGTAGTCACTGAATATTACATGTAGATTACAGATTCTTATCTTGAGAACAGAAATTACTAGGTTCAGACTTCTCCACAGCAGACTTTCCGGGAAATAATGCATTTACTGTGCACATTGCTCTAAGGGTACAGTAAAGTTTAGCATGCATAATAGGAAACCTGACTATATGAATTAATTTTGCATTTTATTTTATATGCCAAACAGGGAAACAACAATACAATAAGCTATTCCAACCTTATTAGGGGATCCTCTTCTGGTACTGTCATCACAAGAAATAGAAATCTTCACTTGCGTATCAACTGCAAAATGCTCCAGAACACATGGGCACAAATAATGTATGTTGCGGAGGACAATTTTGAAGTCAATGAAACTCAGTATGGCAGATACGATGTAAACCTTACATTTTATCATTCTGCATCCTTCTCACGGCCAGTGAATGACTCACCATACTACGTTGATATCAACCAGAATTTGTTCCTTGAAGCTTACCTGCACAGCTCTGATTCAAACCTCATGTTGTTTGTGGACACATGTGTGGCATCTCCCACTCCCCACAATTTTACGACTGTAACCTATGATATAATCAGGAATGGGTAAGCTCTTATGCATTGCAATTACAGATAGAACTACCTTTGAACTCCTGTATCTCATCTTTTTTTTCTTTTTTTAATTTTTTTTTTTAATGGAATAGCGTGAATACAGCATAATGTCAGCTTCTAACTAATTAATGAACATAGGCATTTGAGGTTTATTGGGGGAAGGGGAATGGATTGACCCAAAAAATAACACACCAAGCTTAAAATGACAAATAGACTAAGTTGCTATGGCCAGTTCACCATGGATTTTTATTATCAGAGAGGTAACAGTGACATATCTCAGGTAAGGATAACTTACCTTCAGAAAAACATACAAACACTAGGTATCTAGACACAAGACAGGCTGAAGGGAGGTAACATGGCTCAATGCTGCCAAAGAAGGGCATCTTGCTTTTCCTAACTGCAGATTTCTGAATGATTTTCATCATGTTTAAAAATCACTTTTCATGTTATGTGTTGTGTTGTCTGTAAATGACCGATTGCAGTGTGTATTCATGAGAGTTTTTTTGTTTCTTTTTAGGTGTGTTCGAGATTCTACCTATGCTACATATTATTCACCCTACACACACATGGTCCGGTTTAAATTCAATGCCTTCCAGTTTATTCATAACAATCCATTGGTTTACCTGCAGTGTGAACTAGTGGTGTGCAGGGCCTATGACTATTCTTCCAGATGCTACCAAGGTTGTATTACTAGGTCCAAAAGAGAGGCAAGCTCTGACCAAGAAATTGTGACTGCTGTTGCTGGCCCAATACAGCTTCAGGAAGCTGGTGCTGAGAATAGGAATGCACGTGATTTTAAATAAA